GTTATGTTTAATGGATGTCAGTTATAAGTTATCTCCTGTTAATTTCCCTCTGAAAGTTCTCCACTGCCTTAACGGGTATTGAACTCACACAAAAGGACACATGCCGCAGAGGATAAAGGCGTTGGTTAGATCCAGTGACAGGACGGAAAACAATATATATATATATATATATATATATATATATATATATATATATATATATATATATATATATATATATATATATATGATGATATAAAAGATTAATGGTCAATGTAGAATTAGACCAGGAAACAGTAGTATCAAAAAGTGATCAATACACGTATAAAGAAAATAAAAACTCAACTCGCATAATTTTTGTTCACCACTGCAGCAGACAGGTATCGAAATGCACAATTCTCTGGTCCGATTGCAGGAATATAACCAACGCTTTTATTCACTGTACCTGACGATGTCTGCAGCGTACAATGGCCGAAACATCGTGAATATTGCAACAAAGATGAAAATAACATTCCGAACAATGAAAATAGTGCAAATAACTCACCTCATATATATATATTTTTGACAGCGTTAGTAAATTTTTTAATGATATATGTTAAACGCTTTCCTTAATTTGCTGTTTAATGAGTATATACATGTCTAGCCAATATATAACTATTTACGTTTATTAGTGCAATATTTTAAGGAAAGCGTTTAACATATATCATTAAAAAATTTATTCACGCTGTCAAAAATAATTGCTACACTTAAGTATTAATTTAATTCTCTTAAATAGTTTATTTAATTAAGTAATTACTACCATTTTTTGCATAAAACAATCATTTTGCTTATATATATATATATATATATATATTAAATTCTCATTGATTTACCGAATTTCACAGATAAACTCTATCTGAAATCCTTATATATATATATATACCTCTATAGAACCCAGTCTGTTTTGCTATTTACCCATAGCTGGGGATGCGGAGAAGATGATTCATAGCACATTTAGCCCATAAATGAATGTAATGGATTCGATCTCGGATCTCCGATTCCTCAATCCGAGTCGCTATCTATTACTTCCACCATATATTAGCAGATCTATTTATCACAATAAAATGGGATACTTTATAACAAAAAATGATAAAGATAAACAAAAAAATGTATGTAAATGAAACTAAACTATATAATATATATATATATATATATATATATATATATATATATATATATGAAAAAACTTAAAATCTATATTCAGTAATAAATTTATTTCGATGAATATAAGGATATTCATCTTATCAGACCGACAATATTTTATGAAATTTCTGATTTTCTCTGTACCGTACACTGTGTTGAGCTCTCGTATAGATTGAAAAGTACATCTTGAAATAATCCCTACTAACTATAATATTAATATTATAGAAAAAAATTACTGAACTTTTAAATATCAATTTTATCCCGACTTCGAAGTTTCCTGGTAAAATTTCAAGTCTTTTGGGGTGGTGGTTTTAAAAGGTATTTCTATTTTTTCTTTTTAATATATGCATATATAAAATTGTGTTATTAAACACGAAAATCTTTTTTCATAGTTTTTTGAAAGACAACTTAAAGAAGGAATGACAGCTTTGAAGAAACCACCCAGGAATTTCTGAAGTTTGTACTTTGGGTCCTTGTTCGACATTCTGGCTTTTTGCTTAACAACGAATTATGCTTATTTTAACGTGGATAATCGAGTCGTGTCACAAATTTCAAAATTTCCTCATCAATCAAATTATTTTATATTTACAAGCTAAAGAGGTAAATAATTTAGTTATATGAACACACTGTGCCACTAAATTAAAAACAGTTACTCAAGAACTAATGTATACCAGACTGTCTGTCTTTTACTTTATTTTCTTTTTCTTTCTTTCATTCTTTCTTTCTTTTTTTTCTCACTCTCTTTCCTTCTTATATTTTCTGGTTCTCTCTTTTACTTTCGTTCTTTCTTTCAGTAGATCTATTTATAGTTGATTAAGTCTTTCTAAATATTACTTTTTCGCTATCTCTTTCTTTCGTTCTTTCTTTCTTTCTTTCTTTCTTTCTTTCTTTCGTACTCTCTCTCTCTCTCTCTTTCTTTCTTTCTTTCTTTCTTATACCCCTTCATTATTTTTGTTCTTCTTCTTTCTTACGTTTTTCTTTTTTTCAGTAGCTATATTCATGTTGGTCTCTTCTTTCTTTCTTTCTTTCTTTCTTTCTTTCTTTCTTTCTTTTATTCTGTCATTATTTTTGCTTTCTTTTTTCTTTCTTTCTTTCTTTCTTTCTTTCTTTCTCTCTCTTTCTTTCTTTCTTTCTTTCTTATACCCCTTCATTATTTTTGTTTTTCTTCTTTCTTACGTTTTTCAGTAGCTATATTCATGTAGATCTCTTCTTTCTTTCTTTCTTTCTTTCTTTCTTTCTTTTATTCTGTCATTATTTTTGTGTGCTTTCTTTCTTTCTTTCTTTCTTTCTTTCTTTCTTTCTTTAACTCTCTTTTTTATTCCTTACTTATATTTGTTCTTTATTGATGTTTGCTTTCTTTCTTTCTTTCTTTCTTTCTTTCTTTCTTTCTTTCTTTCTTTTATTCTGTCATTATTTTTGTGTGCTTTCTTTCTTTCTTTCTTTCTTTCTTTCTTTCTTTCTTTCTTTCTTTCTTTCTTTAACTCTCTTTTTTATTCCTTATATTTGTTCTTTATTGATTTTTGCTTTCTTTTTTCTATCTTTCTTTCTTTCTTTTATTCTGTCATTATTTTTGTGGGCTTTCTTTCTTTCCTCCTCTTTTTTTTCCTTCCCTTGCTTTTTTTCATCCGTTTTGTAGACACACGAAAAACATACTTAACAAAAAGACATACACACGCACACACGCACATACCCCCCCATATATATATATATATATATATATATATATATATATATATATATATATATATATATATATATATATACGTATGTATGTATGTACGTACGTATATGTTTGTATGCATATTATATATAAGTATGTATTTAAACAAGTTTTTTTCTTAAACGCCTCCGACACAGTCTGTTTAATTTTTTATTAGATTTTTCCAGTTCGTGTGTATTCACTTGAGTGGACGAACTCACTGTTATCTAAAATAAACACGTGTTGTGTTTGACGCACCAAAAAAAGGAAGCGCCATTTTTTTTTTTCGAAGTTTTTTTTATATCTTGTTCTGAACAGACCTGATCGGCAATAAAAAAAAAACAAAAAAAAACTAATACGCAAATCTAAAATCACGATAAAGAAAAAATGAAAATTATGCATTCCATTTTATTAAATATTTTTTGTAGGGTTCTTAAACTGACAAAACCGTGCTCATTTCTTTTTATTCTTTAAAAGAATACACGTAGCTAATGGAAAACATTCTAATTGTGTAAGCGTGAATGAATAAACCCCTGAAATTGTTTATATACGATTTCCTTGTTTTGAAGTTTCTTTCAAAGAAATTCGCCAAATTTTACGTTTGTTATAGTGTGACGTTTGGGAAGTAACCAGTAAATTCTGAATTTTCTATTAATTAAATTCAAGGCGCAAGAGCTACTCAAGGTAGAGTGTTACTGTATGAGATTGTTGTAATGTGTAAAAGAAATAAAATTTAGATTTAGATGAGTTATTTTAACGGCACATCAACCGAACAGGTGATTTCGCGCCGAATAGTGTAGTTTTAGGATTTGTTTTTAATTTGTGACTATTTTTCAGACAAAATCTTTTATATAAGTTGTTATTAATTAAATAGGTGGCAATGTAAATCGGTTTTAGTTGCATTTTGTAGCCGGGTGTTTATTCGATTTTCTTTTTATGTTTAGGGGTAGACTTTTGTTACTTTTAAGAATTCTAAATTGGCTTTGGGTTCGACATTCTCAAAGAGGGTCCTAAGATTTGGTAAAGAGAACTAAGTGCATATTATGAGGATATATATATATATATATATATATATATATATATATATATATATATATAGAGAGAGAGAGAGAGAGAGAGAGAGAGAGAAAGAGAGAGATAGATAGATAGATAGCGTTTGATGCCAAAAATGATGCTAGTTTTGTAGTGGAAGAGGAAGCATCAACTCTGGGTACCGTTCTTCAAAGTAATAGTTCTGTCTGCGAGAAGCGTCTTGCAAATAGAATAAGAAGCGAATAGGGATGAGTCGAGTCTGTGTACTTGGCATGGCAGGATCTACCCGTTAAGGTCTGAACTAACTGACAGAACATTTGCCGTGGAAATAGCTAGAGATTAGAACCGTTTCGTCTGTAGTAATGGGGTTAAAGGGAAGAAAATATGTCATCACCCACAAGTCGGCGTAAACGCTTTTGAAAGACGTTGAGGCTCAAAAGTGAGGCTTCGCCATGGAAAGAGCTAGACGTTAGAAACGTTTCGTCTATGGAAAAGGGGTTAAAGGGAGTGAAATAAGTCATCACCCTCAAGTCCGCGTAAACGCTTTTGAAACATTTTAAGTCTTAAAGTAAGAATTTTCCATGGAAATAGCTAGACATTAGAAACTTGTCGTCTCTGGTAATGTGTTAAAGGGAGGAAAATAAGTCATCACCCTCAAGTCCACGTAAACGCTTTTGAAACATTTTAAGGCTTAAAGTGAGAATTTTCCATGGAAATAGCTAGACATTAGAAACTTTTCGTCTATGGTAAAGGGTTAAAGGGAGGAAAATAAGTCATCACCCACAAGTCCGCGTAAACGCTTTCGAAACCTGTTAAGCCTCGAAAGTGAGGCTTTGCCGTGGAAATAGCTAGAGATTAGAACCGTTTCATCTACAGTAAAAGGGTTAAAGGGAGGAAAATAAGTCATCACCCACAAGTCCGCGTAAATTTTTTTGAAACCTCCGAAGGCTTGAAGTGAAAATTTTCCATGGAAATAAGAAGTGATTAGAAACGTTTCGTCTATGGCAAAGGGGTTAAAGGGAAGAAAAGAATTCATCACCCACAAGTCTGCCAAAACATTTTTGAACCCTCTTAAATCTAGAACGTGATGATTCAGGTTCAGTTTTGAAATGGCAGCAATATTCCATATTTGGTCCGATCCGGCTCTTTTAAAACTAAAGCATGGCAGGAGACATTACTACTTGGAACGGTATTAGGAAACGACCCTTTTTTCATTATTTCATCGTTGGTTCGTATATACGTTCTTCGCTTTGAGGTCTAGACTGCGCTTGGATCCTAACAGATGTTCCAAGGCAAGGAGTGTCATTAAGAGTCAAATCCTTCATTTAGGTATTCACTCTGTCTCCCCACTAAGACGAGTTGTGGCACAAGGTTTTTTTTTAAAGGTAGGAACCCGAGAGCGTACACCCGGGCCAGGAACAAGAATTGCATGCAGCCCCCGAAACCGTCGGTTGCGCTGGCCTCGGTGCGAGCATCGATCCATCTCTCTGGTGCAATGAGAAGGCGCGACCTCAGGTAGATTTCACCCCAGGGCTGGGCACCTTTTAGTATAATTTTCCTTAGTTGCGACTCTGTTCTTTGACGGAGCCGCCCATGAGTGCACTCTGCCCAAAGACAGAGACGCAGCTGAGAGATGAATAATAGGATGTTACAAACTACTCAAGCGAGGGGTTAAACCCTTCATCTAAAGACAAAAGAAAACACAGGACATGCTCTATGGTCATATAGCAGTACTGTTTTTGTTTTGGATGTATTGCTTAAATAAAGAGGATTTTTATTACATTGTCTTAATAAATTTCGTCTAGTAAATGGTCTTGTTGCCATTAAGCGCGTGTCGATTGCGGCATCATTGTCAAGCTGAGGATACATCATCTTCTTCTTTATCTGCTGTGCCCTACTCAGAACGTAGACAATCATGGCTCTCCACACTTTCCTATTCTTTGTAGGTCTTCACAAATTTTGTCTTTTCGTTATCTCTCCTAAACGCTGTTCCCCCATCCATTTACTTAAGCTCATCAAGTATGTTATGCGATGTTTTCCTCAGTCCCTTTTCCCTAAATATCTCCTGTGAGTATCAGATTTTCCAAGCCGTCCTTCCTCATTCTGTGCCCCGGAAATTTCTGATGTTAAGTGTAAATCTCCATTTCGTTTCTATTTTCTCTAAAACCTTATCGTTGCTCCCATGTTCGGCCCATGGTATCCTCATCATCCTTCTGTAGAACCAAGTTTTTATTGTCTCAAGTCGCTTTATCTTTGAGAAGATTGAGCAGGACTCACATTTCAATGATGCACTATTATTATATGAACACCAGACGTAAAGACAGATCTATAGACTAATCTTATATTTACAAGTGAAAATATTGGCGCACACAATCTTACCATAAAATAGGTAGACGATGCAGTGTTGATAGCAGACACGGAAAGGAAACTACAAGAACTTCTACTGGAGTTAGTGAAGGAAAGCGACGAGAAAGGACTAAAGATTACTAGCAAGAAAACAGTGCATAGTTGTTAGGAAAAGGGGCAGCCCAACATGCAAATTACAAATTAGGGATACCAAAATCAAACAAGTACAATTTAAATATCTGGGAAGAGTTTTAACAGAGGATGGAAATGACGGCACTGAAATCTGGAGGCGCGTAGGGATAGCAAAAGATGCCTTCCAAAAGCTGAGAAAAGTATTAAGAAACAGGAAAATTTAGTTAGAAACAAAGAATACTGAACAGTCTTCCTATATGGCAGTGAATGCTCCTCGCAGTTGAAGAAGAGATTTGAAGCAACAGAAACATAGTTCTGCAAAAGTATGCCAAGAATGCCACAGACAGAAGTTTTAAAGAAAATGGTAAACTAAAATGATACTTATACTTAACATCAGGAAGAGACATTTGTAATTTCTAGAGCACATAATGAGAAAAGGAGGCTTGGAAAATTTGATACACACAGCAAGGATTGAATGATAGAGGAAGAGAGGAAAACAATGCATCACCTACCTAGCAAGCTTCAGGAGGTATAACAAAGAGACAACATTTATAAAGAGCTACAAAGTATAGGAACTTGTGGAGAGCTATGATCGCCAACGTCCTGAACGGCATATAGACAAATAAGAATGAGCGTGAGTAAATGGATGGCGAAGCAAGGTTCAGGATAGATAACTGTTGAGGTGTTGAGTGTTTCCCCATGCGTGTATTGAAATAAGGACAAACACCTACGTAGGGAAAAATACTGGTATATCTGAAGAGGTATTTACAACAGAGAGATTAATAGTCAAACGAACGCAGGTTAGTCAGTAACAATCAGAAAGAGTATAAAGTCTAACTGTATCTTCCGCTAGAGAGACGGAAGTGTGATGGTCACCTGATCTTCCCAGAACTCTATAGAACTGTCCTATTAGTAGTAGAGAGATCAGTCCTTTCTGATGAGAAGGTTGGTGGGCCCAACAATAGCAAAATAGCAACATTTTTAAAGAGCTACAAAGGACAGGAACTAGTAGAGAGCCATAATCGCCAACGTTCTGAAGGGACTCGGCATATAGACGAAGAATCAAGGTTTAGGAGAGATAACGAAAAGACAAAATTTATTAAGAGTTGCAAAGAACAGGAAATGATGGAGAACCCTGATCGGCAAAGTCAAGAAACAACACGGCACATAGAAGATACTGGGCAAGCTTATCATACACGAAAAAGAAATGTAGATCTACAGAAGGATGCAGAGAATATCACGGGTTGAACATGTGATCAAGGACGAAGATTTTAAGAAAAGAGAAGTTAAAAGGAC